CAAGGACGTTTGTCGAGGATTGTAGGAATACTCGAAGTCCTAGCTCGAAATGACCAAAAAGTAATTCATAACTCAATTCTGAAAAAATAAATACATTAGTAAACGAATAACAACAAAAGAAAGATAAATGCGAACTTTTTCTCCTTGAAAATATGTAAAAATAAAAAGAAACGTTTACTACGCAGGCTAGTCTCAACATTAAATTCGTCGGTACGCAGCACTGTGAGAGGACCTGAGAGTTACTTGACCGAAAACACAGCGCACAGACCCCGGCCAGGACTCGGGTGAAACCCTTATTATTCTGGCAACTGAAGGACAGCTACAAACGACGTAGATTTCAGATTCCGAGTGTTTAAAAGGTTTAAACAATTGCTCAATAGTACGAGTACGAGATCGAGTACGAGAACGACTTTTCAATTCCATTTTGCAAGCCCCACATTATCACTTCACTTTACCATCTCATCTCATAAGCTGCCCTCTCTACCTGGAACCAACACAAAGAGCGAGGACTCCGGAAACGTCACTAGTTTTAAATTCGAAAATGGTAGTCGTACTCAACCTCGTTCTCGTGGTGCAATCTATAGGTCCCTGATCTACGGCAATGGCATACGCTGGGGGAGGCTCGGTAGCCTTATCGTTAAGCGCTGGACTCTGATCCGGATCAAGCAGTTCAAGTTCGAGCCCTAGCCGGGGTGGTTGCGGAAATAAGAAAAGCTAAGAAACGGGGATAAGCTCAGTTGTATGGGATACTAGCCCAAGTGCGTGCATCTACATAAAATAAGGTGTCACAGGTATTCTGTCCAGACTGTCCACGGTCGACAGACTATGCCATAGGAACGTTTGAATTTCTTCTTTGTTCGCTTCCATTTTTTTCCTTTTTAAGTATTTTTCAACGGATAATTTTTTACTAAAGTCTTTCCTTTTTTTTCATAATTATTATTTTTCTAAGTAAGTGACTTAATTAATAAATTAAGTATTTCGGTTGCGAGTCAAAAATTCCTGCATTTACATTTTTCAAGCTACCTGGACAATGATGATCTAATAATATCGGAGTTGCAGCCCCCAATTAATTTCTGCTGTATCAACCTTTATCACCCTTTCATTTTATCATGTATTGCTTTATTTTCAGCTCAAGAAAGTCCGCCTTCGTACCACGTTTGCCTCTCAGGACACTTCAGGAACGGGAGTAAAACTTTCCTGTTGTGAACATTATGAAAACGTTTTGTTTACCTACACAGACCAGGAGATAAAAGCGGTAAATAAAGCAGTATAAGTCATTTTATGCGGCATCGTGAAAAAATTTCAACTGCACCCTATTTTAGCCTGAATACCCATGTGGTGTTTTGTTGAAGTGAAATCGTTTTTATTCACGATTTTGTAAAGCCATGTTGCGAACGAGAGAGTCTCAGAGCGAGATCTTTGACTTTATGGTTTATTGAAGAGTCACGATTTTTATTTTGGATTGCATGACGGCGAAAACCAGCAACAGATTATTCTACCGGGTAAGAGGCTGATATCGTTTTTATTCAAGATCTTTCTAATATCGATCTTATTGCGAAAGAGCAAGTATTCGAGCAAATGAGCGAGTTGTTAATTCGAGACACAGGGAGAGATCTCCCATTCTCCCGAGCCAGGAGCTCATCATGAAAGTTTTATTCTTTTTTTTTTCGTATCCAACTGAAGCCCGCTAGTTACAGCCTGCGAACACAGACGTATTTCCGGCTGTCGTTTTATGTTGGCAGGCTTCGCTTCTTTGAACTCTCAGGGGAAACTAAAACTAGTTCGGACTAGCTAGTCTGTGCACAGAGGTTTTCTTTTTGCGTCGAGCACGGGCGCGAAAGCGAGGATGCGACCGCGAAGCGGGTGTGTCTTTCTCCAGCCCCACCACTTGCGTTTTGGTTCGTTCATATCCAACTTGCCGGGTTAATATTTTGCTAAGTTGGCGATCTCGACGAACTCAAGACAAAATAGAGGGTCTGTGGCAGCGGGATTTCGAAATAACTGTGTATGGGGGTATTACGTGGCGGCGCGAAGACATGAATTTTATTTTCGAGGGGTAAAATATTGTTCTTTATTAAATCCATTTTGAAATCACTGGTTATCCTTGCAATCTGATGGACTCTCAGTGGTGCGATTTATTCACGAATCGCACTATTTTTTGCTCTAAATCGCATCTTTTTCTCAGCCAATGAAAATGGGACAGTAAAACAAAAC